GGATCCAGCTTCTTTGGGACTCTCTGGGCTTCCTAGACTTTCCCTGAAGTCTATTTCCTCTGCCAGACTGGGAAGCCTCCTTTGTTATTTTTTCAAATAAGCTTTCAATTTCTTGTTCTTCCTCTTCTCCTTCTGGCACCCCTATGATTCGGATGTTGGAACATTTAAAGTTGTCCCAGAAGTTCTAAGACTCTCCTCATTTTTTAAAATTTGTTTCTCCATTCTGTTCTGGTTGAATATTTATTTCTTCCTTCTATTCCAAATCATTTATTTGCATCCCAGTTTCCTTCCCTTCACTGTTGGTTCCCTGTATATTTTCTTTTATTTCACTTTGTGTAGTCTTCACTTCTTCCTTTATTTTGCATATGAAATCAACCATTTCTGTGAGCATCCTGATTATTAGTGTTTTGAATTCTTCATCTGATAGGTTGGTGGTCTCTCTGTCAGTTAGTTCTTTTTCTGGAATTCTGATGTTCTTTCATTTGGGCAGTTTTTCTTTGGGTGTATCTGTTATGTTGTAAGGCGTGGAGCCTTAGGTATTTGCCAGGGCAGGGCAACCCATATTGCTGCATTGTGGTGCTGTATGTGGGGAATGGATCAGAGAGGGAACAATGCCGTTTGCTCAGCTTTCACCCTGCTTTTAGTCACTTTCCCTGCTACCCACAAGCAAATTGCATCCTTCGAGGTACTCTGCTGCTGATTCCTGGGTGGGTGGGTTTGTGTACATTCTGGGACCTCATGGGCCCTCCAGTAGATTCTCCTGTGAGGCTGGGAGTTTCTCTCACCACCAGAACCCTACAGGTTTTTACAACCAGAGGTTTTTGAAGCTTTCTTTTCCCATGCTGGAACCCTGGGTGGCACAGTTTGTCTCACTCCCTAGTTGTTTCTTCCAGTTTATCTGCACATGAATGTGGGAACGCCCAGTCCTCCAGCCACCACTTTGCCACGCATCCTCTCCATCCTGGCTGCCCGTCTCTGCCCCTCCCACCAGTCTGGATGAATGTTTCTTCTTAAACTCCTTGGCTGTTGGACTTTGATACAGTTCGATTTTCTGTCAGTACTGGTTGTTTTTGTCTTTAAGTTGGTTGTTGTCCTTCTTGTGGTTGTGCGAGGAAACGAAGTGTGTCGACCTGTGCCTCTATCTTGAAAAGCCAACCTCTTTACATAAGGCGTAGAGTTTTTACAGTGCTCTAATGAGGTGGGGAGTGACCTTGAAGTTCAGTTGAATTATAAGAGCTTCTTTGGTTATCTCACAGCAAATATTGTAAAACAATTGTTGAATTTAAAGATGGTGAAGCATATTTTTAAAATGCAAAGACAATATTTGTCAAATTTGCTGACCTTTTCTTTATGACAAGTGGCTATGCGACAGGCTTCATAGCAGATTAAAACCAGCCAACCTACCAGCCAAGCAACGGAACACTCTTATTCCATCCCTTCAAAGTAAAGATGGTGCTTGAACAATGAATGACAGAGTAACTGCCTTTTTAAAGACAGAGATTCACATACAGAGAGTGTTTTTATGTCACTGCATGGAAATCTTTCTTTTATAATGTGATTTTTGTTGTAAGAGATACATGTGTCTAATGAAAACTTTGGTGTCTGCACCCTGTGAAAAACCTGTAAGAATATTTTCTATACTGTTGAAAACCTTCCAAGTAATTTCAGTTAATTTTTAAACTAATTGTTAAGAATGTAAAAATGCAATATCTTTTGATTACTTTGCAAGAACAATTGACAGGAGGGAAGATAGAAATTTATTATATAAAATTCAACCAAAACGACCTGATGGGAGTTATTGAAAAATGAAAGCAGTGATTTAGTAAGTACAAGAATGACACATTCCTTTAATTTCAGTCCTCACGTTGTTGCAGTTGTCCCTTGCTCTACTGTACAGCCAGTTAAGTGCTAAAAGCAGCAGAATTTAGGACCTGACGTTTCAATCACCTAATTACAAAACACTAAAATCGATATTTAAAAAATAATATAATTTCATTTAGTTCAAAAATTATCATTGCTCTGCTATCAGTGTTAATAAATCTTGAGGCAAGTGGAAAGACCTGTACAACTGTTGGTGGCAAAATGGCATCAGGTATTAATTAGACTGGTGGAGTCAGATCAGACCTTGGTTTAGCAACCTCAGTACTTGTGTTCTGGCTAAGAAAGAATTCAGAGCCAAGACTCAAATTACAAGAGAAAGTTTATTTAGAAAGTCACAGAGGTAGAACAACTGAGACGTGGAAGAAAAGGGCTTAGGAAATAAGTGACAGAGGGCCTGTCTTTGCCCTTAGAGCTCAGGAGAAAGAGAGAGGCAGGGAAAATGTGCCTGAGGGAGGGAGGCGGGTGGGGAAAGGCAGGGCCGTGCTCCTTAGAGAGAGCCCCACTAGGTTTGTCTTGAAGGCTTTCATTTGCTCCCCCAAGGTGGGGTGTCAGGGGAGGTCCTGAGGAGGATCTCAATGGAATATTCATCAGTTTTCCAGGTGTGCCCCTCAGGGTTGTGGTTTCCACTGATTGGTCGGTGCTGGGTGAGGGTATCGTCAGTGCAGCTGATCCTGATGTCAGCCATGGAGTCACTTGTCTGGTTTTGCTGCTTTTCTGTGCCTGGAGCTGAAACACAACTGAGGCCTAGATGTCATCCCAAGGTTTAATGTTTAAGGGAGTGGTTGTGCCAGGGCCCACGTGGGAGTCACATGAGGCCAACCTTCGGTCCCCTGTTCCTCCTCCAAGGGTATCTACTGCATGACTAGTGACGGGCCAGGGGAGGAGAGGTTGGGGGAGGGTCCCAGCTGCATGATCAGTGATATGGAAGGCCAGGAGAGGGTTTAAACCCCAGCGCCAGTGATATGCAATGTCGGGGTTGAAATGGCATGATCAGTGACATGCTATGGGAGAAAGGTCACCCTCGGAGCAAGGTCCTTGTTTTCCCAGTTGCTCAGCCTTAGGGCTTTCCACCCGGTGACCTTCCGTACCTGTCTGTCACCCTTGCTCTGCTGGAGTCTAACTGCGCACCATACAACTAGGATGCGAAGCTATTTTTAAATGCTTGTAACCTTTCATTCTTTTTAATCCCTATTCTGTCTATGTTTTATATTGCAATGCTATATAGAATGTATAGTAAAATGTATGTATATAATAAATATGCATATACTGGAGGACCACACTAAATTTTTGTTTGGTTTGTCAGAGTATGTAATCAAAGGTTGGAGACCTGTTTTCACTGATCACTCATGATCTGGCAAACTATTACTGGTAGTAGCAGCTATTTATCCTTAAAGTCTAAATCACTGTTTTAGAGATTATAAATCAGCATGTAGTTTTTAACTCATGAGCTTTTGTTTTTATATGTGGAGCCTTGATAAATGAAGTTTAGCTTTAGTGTAAATTCCAAAACAGTGGCTCTCAAAAGTGTAGAGCATGTCCTGACTGTTGTGGCTCCATTGGCTGAGTGTTGTCCCACAAAGTGGAAGGGCGCTGGTTTGATTTCCGGTCAGGGTGAGTTCCTGGGTTACAGGTTCGGTCCCTGGTAGGGGTGCATGCGAGACAACCAGTTGATGTTTCTCACTCACATCGATGCTTCTCTCCCTCTCCCTCCATTCCCTTCTCTCTAAAAATAAATAAATAAAATCTGTATTAAAAAGTCTAGAGCAGTACCAGCATCACCTAGGAACTTAGTAGAAATGTAAATTTCCAGGCCACATCTCAGACCTATTGAGCCAGAGATACTGCTTAACAAGGTGGCTGGGTAATTCTAATGTTCGCTCAAGTTGGAGAACTGCTGGCCTAGCTGATTTAGATGGATGGGTCATTCCTTCTTCCTATTTCATGATTTATCTGAGACAGTTTCTTCATATCTGTGGTGTGTCTCAGTCTTAGCCCAGACTTTTTTCATCTCTACCTGAGATTTTCTTCTCTTCTTCCTCCCTCTTTTTCTTCTCCCTATTGTGAAACATTGTTCATTACTATTATTTTCACAAGAGGGGTGGTGTTTTGGTTCTTACCTTTTGGATGCCAGCCAATGTAACATGTTTAAAGGGAACATTTATAACATTTTAAAAGTAGTATTTGTAAACTACTTCTAGTTGGACTGGAATATGCACGTGATTAATATTCTATTTTTCTGCCTATACCCTCTTGATTTCAAATTTTATAATCTTGAAAAACCTCTCTACCAACTAAAATTTCAAAACAAACATTTTCAAGTATGAGTCATTTAGATTCAACAATTGTTGAATTTTGTTATATTTGCTTTATCTCTTTCTATACATATACCCACATACACACACTTTTTTTGCTGAACTATATGATAGTAAATTGTATACATTAGTACCCTTACCTCTAAATACTGTACACCTAAGAATAAAGATCAAAGTAGCTTTTAGGGTACTAGTACTAAATGGTTCTAAAAGGCCAATTCTTAGCAAATGTTAAACCAATTATTAAAGCCTCTTAAATATTTTCTTTTTTAAAGGTTTATTTATTTATTTATTTATTTTTTGAGGGGAAGTGAGGGAGAAAGAGATGAGAGAAACATCAATGTGTGGTTGCCTCTTGTGCACCCCTACTGGCCTGCAACCCAGGCCATGCACCCTGACTGGGAATTGAACTGGTGATTCTTTGGTTTGCAGGCCGGCGCTCAGTCCACTGAGCCACACCAGCCAGGACAACCTCTTAAACATTTTCAAGATCCTTTTATAAATGTGCTACTGAGGAATAGAGAAGTTGTGAATATATAAGTGAATCCTCCAGCTTCTCTTAACCAAAATTTTTCACCTGAACTACAGAACACACAGGATGATTTGAGTGACTATTTTCTTATTTCTCCCACGGATGGCCCATAACTAGTACCTATCCACATGCGTAGGGGAAAAGTGAATTCATTATATACAGTGGAAATCTCTAGAAATCCAGTTTAGTTGGACTGTGTGTGTGGCAAGTTTTTAAAGGATTTTGCTTTGACTAGCTTGTAATGTTTATACAAATAACTGTATTTTTTATTTTAGATTACAGGTCCACCAGGCTGTGGAAAAACTCAGTTTTGTATAATGATGAGTGTTTTAGCCACCTTGCCCACCAGCATGGGAGGATTGGAAGGAGCTGTTGTGTACATCGACACAGAATCTGCGTTTAGTGCTGAACGGTAGGAGGTGTTACTATATTCCATTGTAACAGTTTAGTATTGTAACATAGATAGTATGTAACATTTTCAAATAGGTTAACATTTACTCTTTTTTGAGAGCACAGAATGCTGCTGTTTTAAAGGAATTTTCCTTTTAAAATTGACAGAGGAAGCAGTTTCTTTTTATCTTCTCTATTTACTGGTTTAAGTGGGGTTCCTGAATAAGATGTGTTTTGGAGAAAGTCAGGAAGAAAGAAGTTCAAGTAAGAGACAAATGTAAGTGGAAAATGGGAAAGAGGGAAAACTAATAAGACAGAGAGGAAGTAAGCTGCTTTGTAACTAATTTCTAGTTGGATATAAAATGTTAGTGAATAGAAAAATTATAAATTTCTGAACTTTTTTTTGATTGAGAAGTATTTCACTTTAATCTTTGAAATTGTATGGTATTCATTGTAAGAAACACACTGATAGTAAGTGTATCTTTGTTTGGAAAGAAAAGATTTCCTTAGTTTGAAAAGGACCTTGAACATTGTATAAGAGAGGCATTTTGTCATTTGTGTATTTCCATACACCTGAAAATAAGTTTGGTCCCCATCCTTCTCTGCTCTGATTGATATTCATAAGCAGGAGTGCTTGTGTATTTAGACTCTGACTCTGTCCTGTTCTCTTAGTCATGCCATAGTACAGGTATAGGCCTTTGAGTCTTTCTCTCACTGTCATTATGAATCAGAGCTCTCTCTTAATTCCCTCAATGAATACTACTTAAATCAAAGCATATTCCCTGACCAGAGAAGTTCCACATCGATTATCCTGTGTAGAGTTTATTTGCTTTGTTCTACATCTCTTGGGTATCTATTCTTTCTAAGTGTATGCTACTGGTTTGTCAGCAATTTGAGTTTGTGTTATGTGTTTGTGTCTTCAAAGCCAAATCCAGTGACTGACACATAAAAATCTCAGAAAGTGTTGATAAATGAATGGATGGGTGTTACTGTCAGATAGTGAAATTTTGATATCACTTTCTTTTCTTTTTTAATTACATTTGATGCTCAGTATTATTTTATATCCCTTCACTTTTTTCACCCAGCCCCCTAACCCTTCTTCTCTTTGGCAGCCATCAGTTTGTTCTCTGGATGAGTCTGTTTCTATTGTTTGTTTGTATATTTTGTTCTTTCGATTCCACATATAAGTGAAGTCATAATTTATTTGTTGCTCTCTGACTTGTTTTACTTAGCATACTACTTCCTAGGTTCTTCCATGCTGTCATAAATGGTAAGATTTCATTTTTTATGCTTGAGTAATATTCCATTGTACATACAGACCACAACTTTTTTATCCACATGTCTGTTGGTGGGCACTTGGGTTGGTTCCAAATCTTGGCTGTTGTAAACAATGCTGCAGTGAACATAGGAATGCATGTGACTTTTGAATTAGTGTTTTGGGTTTCTTCAGATATATACCCAGAAGTGGAATTTCTGGGTCATAAGGCAGTTCTTTTTAAATTTTTTTGAGAAACCTACTGTTTTCCATAGTGGCTATACCAATTTACATTCTCACCAACAGTGTACTAGGGTTCCCTTTTCTCCACATCCTCACCAGTACTTGTTTGTTGATTTATTGATGACTGTCATTAAGACAGGTGTGAGGTGATATCTCATTGTGGCTTTAATTTGCACTTCTCTGATGATTAGTGACATTGAACATCGCATATGTCTATTGGCCATCTGTATGTCCTCTTTGGAGAGGATATTATTGCCAGTGGAAGTGGGGTTCTTGTGGTGTTGCAAGGAAAGCATTCCAGGAGACCCACACATGGGGGATTGTAGCATGGCAAGATTTATTCTGGGTGGAAATAGAAGTTTGCCCCTGTGTCCTATCTCCATTTGTCCTGTCATGGAAAAAGTCCAACTGTATCTTCAGCAAGGCCAAAACAAAGCCCAGTGTCCATAGTTTCTGTTCCTTTTTTCCGGCATTAGAAGTCTCAGTCCCTGTCCAGGTAGCTTAGCGCTATTCCTGGCTGTGCTGCTGTACCCAGGCTCTAGTCTGGAGCTTGCATTTGGAGTCCATGTGGCTGCCAACCACATGGCTGCTAGACTCACATGGTTACTACGGAGAGAATGCTTGAATGGATGGGGCCAGCTCATGTTCCTGGGGGACAGAAAGAGCTTCTTGGCTAAGCTGGGTCATATTATCTCAGGTTTGGGATGGACCAGGTGCTTTTCAAAGCACCAACTTCCCAAGCTTTTGCAGGCTTCTAATGGGTCCACTCCCTGGCCAAGTGATCCCTTTCCCAGGTTAGACTGACAGGCCTTTATGGTCAAGCATCTCCACCTGCACCATTTTAACTTCTATTGTGCATGTGCTTACCTCTCCCTTCTCCGCCGCCAACAATCTGGTACCAGAGCGGGGAACGGAGGGGTGTTAATCCTTGGTAGGGCAATGCTGAGATCCACTGGAGTGTGTGAAACTATAGCTTCCTTGCTGAGCAAGTAGGCTTATGCTCTTTGGTTGATTATGCTCAACAGTGTCTGATTCTCTTTGCTTCCTTCTTTTATTAATATCTAGCTAACTACATATGGTAACATTTACCCCCTGAAGACCTTGGGCCTTATAATCTTACAGGGGTAAACTGATGAAGGTCTCATTTTCTGTAATTGCTTCTTGCTATCAAGGGGCATAGTCCTGCCTATCCCTAGGCCCAGAGGCTCTTCCTATCTGCCAAAGAAAGAAAGGAGCAAAAGGGAAGGGGAGTCTTCACGCAGGGAAGAGGGATTTTGCAAAAAGTCCAGATCAGTCTGCTGTCCCTGGGAGGCAGCATATGCAGTGTCTAGAGGATGATGATGCTGGACAACCTAGCATCCTTGTTGTCGTGACCTAGAGAATAACTTGTGTCAGGAGAAGTAACTGAACCCAAGATGTAGTTCAGTACCTTTTTCCATTTGGCTCATCCTGAGTTGTATCCTTCATAATAAACTGGTAATAGTAAGTAAAGTGTTCTCCTGAGTTCTGTGGGACATTCTAACCAATCATTGAACTTGAGAAGAAGAGTGTGGGAACCACCGATTTTTAGCCTGTCAGTCAGCAGTACAAGAGGGCGAAGACTTGCAGTTGGTGTCAGACATCAGGGCAGTCTTGTAGGACTGAGCCGTTAATCTGTGGGGTCTGAGCTAACTACCAGTAGTTAGTGTCAGAATTGAATTGGCTTGTAGGACACCCAGCTGGTATCCACAGGGAACTAGAGAACTGTGTAGGGTGGAAAACCTACACAGTTACAACATATACAGAGAAGAGAGGTACATGTTAAACCAAAGGGATGCAACTGGCAAAAACCAAACTGTGGTAAATGACACAATAAACAATCTGGTTTTGTAACAAATAAATAGTTACGATTAAAAAAAGATTTAGAGGACGAAGATGGTGTCATAGGTAGATACACTTTGCCTCCTTGCACAACCAAAAGAAGGACAACAGCAAATTTAAAAACAAAAAGAACCAGAACTGGCAGAAAATTGAACTGTATCGAAGTCCAACAACCAAGGAGTTAAAGAAGAAACATTCATCTAGATTGGTAGTGGTAGGGGTGGAGATAGGCAGCCAGGGTGGAGAGGAGATGCAGCAAGGTGGTAGCAAGCAAACCAGGCAGTCCCACATGTGCATGTGGATAAACTGGAGGAACATGGGGAGTGAGACAGAGCGAGCAACCCAGGGTTCCAGTGTAGGAAAAGAAAGCCTAAAAACCTCTGGCTGTAAAAAGCTGTGGGGGTTGCGGCAGCAGGAGAAACTCTCAGCCTTACAGGAGAGTTCATTGGAGAGACCCACAGGGTACTGGAACATACACAAAACCACCCACCTGGGAATCAGTGCCAGAGTGGGCCAATATGCTTGTGGGTAGTGGGGAAAGTGAGTGAAAGCCAGCTCAGAGCTGAGTAAGCAACATTGTTCCCTCTCAGACCCCTCCCCACATACAGCACTACAACTCAGCCATGTGGGTGCTGTATGCCCCACCTTAGGTGGATACCTAAGGCTCCATCCCTTACAACGTAACAGGTACACAGAGACAAAAAGTATGGTCCAAATGAAAGAACAGATTAAAGCTCCAAAAATAGAACTAAGCAGCGAAGAGATAGCCAACCTATCAGATGCAGAATTCAAAACATTGGTAATCAGGATGCTTACAGAAAATAGAGGAAAAAATGAAGGCTATGCAAAGTGAAATAAGGAAAAATATACAGGGAACCAACAGTGAAGGGAAGGAAACTGAGACTCAAATAACTGATTTAGAGCAGAAGGAAGAAATAAGTATTCAACCAGAACAGAATGGAGAAACAGGAATTCAAAAAAAAAAAAAAATGAGGAGAGGCTGAGGAACTTCTGGGACAACTTTAAATGTTCCAACATCCGAATCATAGGGGTGCCAGAAGGAGAAGAGAAAGAGCAAGAAATTGAAAGCTTATTTGAAAAAATAACAAAGGAGAACTTCCCCGGTCTGGCAAAGGAAATAGACTTCAGGGAAGTCTAGGAAGCCCAGAGAGTCCCAAAGAAGCTGGATCCCAGGAGGAACACATCAAGGCACATCTCAATTACATTACCCAAGATTAAAGATAAGGAGAGAGTCTTAAAAGCAGCAAGAGAAAAGGAGAGAGTTACTTACAAAGGAGTTCCCATAAGACGATCAGCTGATTTCTTAAAAGAAACCTTGCAGCAAGAAGGGTCTGGAAAGAAGTATTCAAAGTCATGAAAAGCAAGGACCTACATCCAAGATTACTCTATCCAGCATAACTATCCTTTAGAATGGAAGGTCAGATAAAGTGCTTCCCAGACAAAAAGTGAAAGGAGTTCATCATCACGAAGCCCTTATTATATGAAATGTTAAAGGGACTTATTTAAGAAAAGGAAGAAGATAAAAACTATGAACAGTAAAAGACAACAAACTCACAACTATCAACAAATGAACCTAAAAAAACAAACAAAAATGAACTAAGCAAACAACTAGAACAGGAACAGAACCACAGAAATGGAGATCA